CTAAAACATATACTAATATTTTTAGTTGTAGATAGACATAATTATTTTATTTATTTATTTACTTATGTGGTGCTGAGGATCAAACCCAGTGCCTCACACATGCTCCCTCACTGAGCCACAACACCAACCTCAAATATATTTATATTTGAAAAAAGAAAGCTAAATATTCATAGATCCACTATATGTAATCATCTTTCTTAGCCTATTTTTCCATATTTATTTTTCTAAATTTCCACTTAAATGTTGATACCAACATTTAAAATAGAGATACACTATTTTCCTTCTGAATCCTCAAAAGAAGGATATAAAATTTTCTAACTTAAGAAATAGCCTCTGGGGCTGGGGTTGTGGCTCAGTGGTAGAGTGCTTGCCTAGCACACGTGAGGTCCTGGGTTCGATCCTCAGCATCACATAAAAATAAAGTAAAGATATTGTGTTCACCTACAATTAAAAATAAATAAATAAAATAAATATTTTTTAAAAAAAGAAATAGCCTCTGTAGCCAGGTGTGGTGGCACACAACTATAATCCCAGCAATTTGAGAGGCTAAAGCAGGAGACTGAAATTCAAAGCCAGCCTCAGCAACTTAGCGAGGCCCTAAGTAACTAAGCAAGATCCTGTCTCAAAATAAAAAATAAAAATAGGGGCTGGGGATGTGACTCAGTGGTTAAGTGCCCCTGACTCAATCCCTGGTACCAAATAAAGAAAAATAGTTTAACTTCTCTTATTCTCTTGAGCAATTCTTACTCTTTCTAGTTAATTCTAAATTAAATTTCTGGTTGCTCCTTAGGTACATTATTTTATAAATAGATGACTTCCAAAAATTTGGAATTGTACCTTTAAAAATATAGTACTTACAGATATACAATGGAATCATACTTTAAAAACTAAAACAAGAGACTGACAAAATTATTATTTATGAACAAAAATGTCAAACTGTGAAACATCAAGAAATTAAGACCATTTACATAGTGGCAACATCTATGCCCTGAAATATTATTGCTAATATCATTACCTATTAAATATAAGGTCTGTGCATATAGCTAGACTGGTGTTAGTGGGAAAATAAGGTTTCTAAGAATTTAGGATTTTAAAATATAATGTAAGTTTTAATATGATAAATTGCAAATATGCTTACTTTGATAACACATGGTTTAAAATTAAACTCTCAAAGTAAGATTACTAAACTTCATGAAGAAACCCCTATAAACACCTATTCTAAGACAAAAGAAATCAGTGGTGTTGGATTTAACACTGAAATAAATGCCCGCCTGTTTTGAATTTGCTCTGGAAACTGGAAGGTAAGGAAACAGAACATGTGCTTTTAAAAAATTCACAATCATTAAGATGATGATGGGAGTCTATGGCACTGTAGCTTTTACATCACAGTAACTTTATTCAGAGCACTCTAAAGGGCACACGAGAGACCCTGCAGTAAAACCAGAGTAAACTACATATTAAAATCTATTGCTGATAACCAGAAAGAAAGAGGAATTGGTCCTTTTAGAATTTCCAAAGACACACTGTCAGCCATTAAGAAAGAAAATGAAGATGGTCTGATGATTAATCTCTGAGGAGAAAGCACTATGAGTATTCTAATACCATGGTAAATGCTGGAGCAACTTGGTATGTATTGGGCCCTTTGAAAAAAGGTAAAAGCACAATATTATAAAAATTAAATAATTTCATTTACCAAGATAAGAACCCCTCCCACAAGATAGCATGAGAAGAGAAAAAGAATTCCTTTGTGATGTGGATGTATGCTATAGTGCAGCTATGAAAGAAATTAATTCCCAAGTGCCTAGTCCAGAGCTCGATAAATACCTTTTATTGCTACTCATGATCTGTTGTTAGAGGCTTAAAAACAAGACAAGCATAATCAAAACCAAACTTAACAGAGGGCACTGATAACTATAGACGCTGTGAAGATGTGATCTATCCCAATAAGTAATAATGACAGATACAGAAAGAAAACAAATACTATCCAAGTGGTCTGTAAGGGCTGTGCCAATGGACATAGAAGATTATGTAAAGTACATGAAAAACTGCTGCTTATTATTAGGCTTAATAATTAACTTAGCCATGGAAATGTTACTCAAAAAACAATGTATATATCCCAGTTTGACACAGACTGGGTTCCCACTACAGACCTATTTTACTTCTTTTTCTTTTTTAATGTCTGGGAATCTAGACTTTGGTCAGTCTACATATAGGAAGTAAAACCAAGAGAATGCCCTAACTTCTGAGTTTTAACTACTGAGAATAAAATATAAGAAAATGAAATGAGTTAAAGAAAGCACTTGACTCTAAATGTTAATCTGAGTAGGTGAAAAGCTTTAAGGCTGTTCTCATAACTTTGCCCACTGAGAAGTAACCTTCACCCTAGAATGGCCTCACAGTCAAGCCCTGGAGCTTAGATGATGAAACACTCTTCATTTCCTTTTTTTTTTTTTTTTTTTTTTTT